GATGCCCTTGACTCCTCTTCGATGCCCTTGACTCCTCTTTTGATGCCCCTCACCTCCCCTTTCGATGCCCCTTACCTTCCCTTTCAATGCCCCTTACCTCCCCCTTTGATGCCCCTTACCTCCCCTTTTGATGCCCTTTACCTCCCCTTTTGATGCCCCTTACCTCCCCTTTTGATGCCCCTTGACTCCCCTTTCGATGCCCCTTGACTCCCCTTTCGATGCCCCTTGACTCCCCTTTCGATGCCCCTTGACTCCCCTTTCGATGCCCCTTGACTCCCCTTTCGATGCCCCTTGACTCCCCTTTCGATGCCCCTTACCTCCTCTCTTTTTTTGACAGTTTGTTCCATCAGTATCTTCTGTTCCTGAATTGTATTATAATCACTCGTCATTTGTTCCAACTGAGTAGCTTTGAGAAAAAACTGTAAAACACACTAGATATATGTGATTGCAGTTGGGTTAACTTAATAGTCTCAATCGAATAAGTAATTGCATGTCATAGCCCCTGTGAGTTATCAAGTTTGTAAAGCAATGGAAGTCATAGCCCCTGTGAGTTATCAAGTTTGTAAAGTCACTGCAAGACATAGCCCCTGTGAGTTATCAAGTTTGTAAAGTCACTGCATGAGATAGCCCCTGTGAGTTATCAAGTTTGTAAAGTCACTGCATGACATAGCCCCTGTGAGTTATCAAGTTTGTAAAGTCACTGCATGTCATAGCTCATGTGAGTTATCAAGTTTGTAAAGCAATGCAAGTCATAGCCCCTGTGAGTTATCAAGTTTGTAAAGCAATGCATGTCATAGCCCCTGTGAGTTATCAAGTTTGTAAAGTCACTGCATGTCATAACCACTGTGAGTTATCAAGTTTGTAAAGTCACTGCATGACATAGCCCCTGTGAGTTATCAAGTTTGTAAAGTCACTGCATGACATAGCCCCTGTGAGTTATCAAGTTTGTAAAGTCACTGCATGTCATAGCTCATGTGAGTTATCAAGTTGGTAAAGTCACTGCATGACATAGCCACTCAGTTATCAAGATTGTAAAATCACTGCATGACAAATCTTGTAATGGCTGGGTGTCAAATTATGTAATGGTTAGGTGTCAAATCATGTGATGGTTGGGTGTCAAATCTTGTGATGGTTGGGTGTCAAATCATGTAATGGTTAGGTGTCAAATCATGTGATGGGTGTCAAATCTTGTGATGGTTGGGTGTCAAATCATGTAATGGTTAGGTGTCAAATCAT